TTCATTCATCGCTCACTTCTGGGCTGTTCGGGTGACGTTTGGCTGAGAGGCCGACGTTTCGCCTTTGGAGTGAACTACCCTGAAGAAGCTTGCGATGTGTAAAGCGACACGTTGACCTCTCAGCCAACGTCGCGGCGTCACCCGGACAGCCAAGAAGACATGAACTCGAGCCTACGTGTACATCTTCATTCATTACTGTTTCCCTTCCTCTAGGATTAAGTGATTGATTGAATGGGTGGAACGGTGGAAGTAACATTTTATAGGTTCTCAGAAAAACGTGTTTTTTATAGGCTATATTTCAGCCCAATGTAATTTCGTCGCTTTAACGAACAATTGAAATGCCGTGGTTTTAACATTGACACTAAACACCACGACTTTACCGTGGTATTGAAATTTTTATCAGAATTTATAAAATGCAACTTATACCGCTCTGGTTTTAACCCATTTAATAGATTAGTGATACTCAACATGCCAAGCTCGTTACTCCCGTAAGTGTAGTGATGTGGCCGTGGTCTTTCATCGCTGGATGGCGAGATCCGGCGCCGACCTCCCGTCAGCTAGCGGGGGTTTTCCCAACGAGGTTTCTCTGACTCGCCCATGAGCCCTCCGCACGCTCGTCAGTCGCCCCCACTCCCACCTCATTGCTGTATCCGTCCCTCTGTGATTGATTGATTGATTGATTGATTGGGTGGAACGGTGGAAGTGACGTTTTATATATTCTCAGAAAAAACGTGTATTTTATTAAACTATATTTAAGCGCCAGTGTAATTTCGTGGTTTTAATGAGCAATTGCATTGTCTTTTTTTTAACATTGACACAAAACACCACGACTTTATGGTGATATTGAATTAATTTAACAGTTTTCTCAGAATTTATAAACATGTCTCTTATACCGCTCTGGTGTTAACCCAACGTGGAAGGTAGTGGTGGTCTTTCACCGCTGGATGGCGAGATCAGGCGCCGACCTACCGTCAGCTTGTATCTCACTGTTCGGTCCCACATAGAAATATTGCATAAGGAATCAATCACCACGCAAGGCAGGCGATCATTGTTGCGTAGGCTGTATTCCACTAATAATTCTGTAAGTCCGTTATAAGCCATTGCAGGGAGAAACTGCCACGCGCACAATATTGCGCAACACGCCAGCCGGCGCACCGAGACATTCTCAGAAATGATACCCACACGGGGAGGCACCCCTTGCCACCGCCTCTTGCTACGCCAACGGGTGAACAATTTAAACACAGTTGTATTCTGATTCAGGATTGGCTAATCGCCATCCCTTCCATGCCCCGAGATCTTGTCGCAACCTGCAAGACAAGGTCTCTGAGTAAACACCATTCGAGCCAGACGTTACTCGAACTCCGTGATGAAAATTCACGTTAAACGAACCTTACGAAGCATGTAGCTTCATTTTGTATCTTTTGAAGTTAATTGTGCTAATCGCTTGAGAACTACCGGCGGAAGTGACTCGAACGCATACGCGGGTCAGCCTGGTGACTGCGAAGCATCTTAACAATCTTATTTAATTAGTAATCCCACGTTAAGCTCTTGTGCAACTAAACGTGTCTCGCTCGTGAGGGTATTAACGAAAAGACTTACATCTGTTGTGCGCAAGATGCAACAAGATCACAACGATCGAACTGTTACACTGTACTCCTGTGACTTGCCGTCTGGAATAAACAAAAGGGGAACTGTGTGCCAACTGCTTATTTTTATGAGATGAGAGGTCCAACCCGTACCAGCCGGTCTCCTTGAGCAAACAAATAATAATAATAATAATAATAATAATAATAATAATAATAATAATAATAATAATAATATGTCTTTATTAATGGCGACAAAGGGTTCGAATCTGCTGCACTGTTATATCCAATTCAATTATCACCCCTTCATACAGTCCACTAATACATTGACATGTGCGGCAATTCCGAACACTCGCAACAGTGAGGCATCGCTGCAGCCGGGAGAAGCTCTAAGCTTCGGACCGATCTCCCCACTGAATTCGTTCTAGCTGAGAAGCTGGCGGAGAAAATCCTGCCACAATCATGACTCAAGCCTGGGACCTCGTGGTCAGAGGCACTGCCGGGACACCAGTTGATGCCCTGAGCCACCTCCGTCGATACGGTCGTCACACCCCCCACCTTTACTAATTAATACGTTTCCTGCGTCTACAGTAGTAAATTATTCATTAGTAGAGCCTCTAGCGACTGTTAGCATCAATGATGAGATAATCAACTTTTATTTTTCACCTGCTTGAAATGTGTTTTCAAAGAACGTGCCGATTTGTATCATTAGATTTGGACGCGAAAAGAAAATTTTTAAAGTGATAAAATTGGTTTTAATATTTTTTACTATCATTCATATTGTTTAAAATTCTGAAAAATATGTATGATTTAGAATGTAATAAGAAACATTCTAGAAGTAAAAACTAAGACACTACTCCAAAGTTATGACGTCAAAAATCAATTTTAATTAATTTCAATAATTAATTTGGAGATAAAATTGATTCACAAAAACACCTTTATATTCAAATTTCACCCCCCCTCCCATTTCTACATTTTTTGAGCCGATAAATGCAATAGAAACAAAGAAAAAATAAAATATGAAAATCACGTTTTTCGTATCTCTGCAACAAATTGCCTTAAAAGACTGATTTTTTTGGAAATCTACGGCATTCTTAATTCTCTTTCATACGAGCACATAGATTTAGTTTGGAAGCACTTTTACCGCCTCATTCAGCTATATGCTTTGAA